TAAGAACTGTAATTCAGCTACACATTTTAAAATGTGTACCTTGTAATATTTTCGCTTTCAATGAATTTACAGTTAATTGCAAGGATTTTATTGAAGGCTTCTGAACCCTTATTTAGCCTGCATAGTGCTGAACAGTGATTTCTGTATATGCTAGAGTTCATATATGCTAATCACTCTGACTGCTTAGAAAACACTGCAGCACTGGGCTCCAATTTGCAGCAAGAGTAGCCCGTAAAGGTTGGCCATTAGCTGAATTGAGTCACCTTTTGTCTACAATTTGCCTGACAAAGAGCTGAAATCTCTATATCTTGCGTTCCCGGTACAATGAGTCTGAACCAGTCTTTTCTGTATTAAGGATGAATTCAAACCAAAAATAGTCTCTATAACTCTGTTGTCTTTTATGCATGGTAGTTATAGACAAGGAGTCAAAGATTTTAGCTGCTTTATACTATACCCCCGCACACCCAGCTGCAGGCATTTTGCAGTCCTTCTTTTAATAAGCTTCTTATTTTGAAGAGCTCACACTCATCCAGAATGTTGTTTATTTTTCTCTGCTCTAGTGCAACTTTGCACATATCTGCAATCATTCCTTTGTTAAGTGTTGCCCAATTGTGTGCTTTTGCTTGGTCTTTCAGGAAATTCCTAATGAGCCTTCTAAGCCTTGGTTAAACTAAATGTTTCTGTGTTGTCAGCAACTTTCACCACCTGTCTATTCAGCCTGTTTTAGAGAAAATTCATAACACCTGGCACCTACCACTTGTTTGGGTACAAAGCAAACGAACCATTATATTTCTCTTGAGAGTGCTCAGACCTGGCATCAGGCAGAGGCAACGACTCTGCTCCTGATGAACAGGGCCAGTAGTCAGACCTTAGACTCAGGTGCATATGGAAGGGTTCTCCTTAGGGCTCAAAAAAACCTGGAACTGAAAACCTGGGCTGGTTTGGTTTTGTTTTGTTTTCCAGTGGTGTGTGTGCAGAAGAGCAAATGCTTAAATAAAATAGGCAAGCATGATTTAAAAATGTCTAGTGCCTTTGCCTCAAATCAACCCCATCGTATGATAACAGTTGTACTGAACTTTGTGGAACTGAAGAATGAAGCTTGCAGGTTGTGAAAGAAAGATGCTGAAGGCACCAAGAAGGCAGCATGCTAGGATGCAAGCTGCTGCTATATAGCTTTTTTGGACAGAAGGTATTTTATTCAGGAGCCCTCCTGCATATTACCTACCTCAGTGTGCGGGTATCAAGTCCACTGAGAAGATGGAAGGACAAGTAGTTGCACACAGAGCAATGGGAATGCTGTGTTGTCTGATCAGAAACTTTGTCTGGAAAGTGAAGCTAATTTTAAGTGAATGCAGTAAGGAAATATGTAGGAAAAAGATGGATGCGTTAGGATTTTTTTACCTTTTTGTTGGAGTAAGAAAGGGAATCAGGGAAACATGAGTTGCTAGCAAGAACATCTGAAAAGCTTTGTAAAGGCATTTGTGAATGCTGTGTTATGTTGATATATTGAACTGAAAGGGATGCAGATACTAGCATGAACATAGAATGCTAGATAAATGCAAGATTTTTGAGTCGCTCTTTCATTGGACATGTGATTTTTGTCTCACAAGGGAAAATTCTGAGAAACATATCCAAACCTTGAGGAGCAGTAATGGTGGAAGAGCTACCAGTAGCCAAAAGATGACTGCAGCTGGAGTCCTTGCTGCTGGCTATATTGGACACATTAACTGTATAAACACAGATCCTTCACCTTTTTTAGTATGATAAATAAACAGTAGTATGTATTGAATTTCTATATTCATTCTCAAGAGTGATTTAAATTGTTGACTAAAAGGTCACTTCAGTGTCCTGGTGCGTTCTGTGAGTCTCAGAAAGCAGAGGAGAAGTGTGGATGAGATACAGGAACCATTTATAAAGATGAGCAAAGGTTGGACTTTTTAATTACAGTAGTTCAGTCTCTGAATTCATGAGTATGCTTTATGCTTTGGGCTTTTTTTTAAATGCACTATTTATTGTTAGAGTGAAGATCTAAAAGCTTCTAAATCAAGGTTTATTTTGGCTAGAAATTAATCTTTTCTTACATAAGCCAAGAGTAAAGATTCATAAATTGAATAGTATTTTGTTTCTTCAGTAACGTCAATAACAGCTTGTCTTTGGGAATTTCAGCCTTTCCAAATTCAATTTCAGCAGTCTTATGTATTTACTTACCTGTTTTAATTAAGAATTGGCAGGAATAAAAGAAAAAAAAATACTTGTTTGTGAGCTGATATGATCTTAATTGAGAATGCCTGGCTCTCACATTGTCATTGATCACTTATTTTTCTGAATTATATCAAGGCACGCATAAGAAATATGTGATACTCCCCCGTGGCAATATCTAGCAGAAGGAGCTGAGAGAGCCCAGGTGTTTTAACACAGTGGTTTGAAAAAGCTCCAAAAATAGTATGTGGTTTTGGAATCCTTGGAGAAGGCAGGGGACAGCTTTCCAAACACCTGGACTCCCTTGATCCACCTGTAGGATAAGCTCTTCTGCCTAAGACGTTGCAGCATATTAATCGTCCTTGCCATGTTTGAACAATGCCCACTTCTTTGTAATATGGCTTCAGACCAAAGATGCAATGTTTCTGCGCAGACCCCGTGCCCCAGAAAACGTATTCTTCCCTGCCTTGTTTCCTTCAGATCTGCAGAAAGAGTTTCAAGGCAGGGGTCTGGAGGAAATGGGAAATGAGTCTTTAATGTGCTTTAGAGCTTCTGTGTCCTTATGTATGCTCCCTCCAATGCCACACACAGGGAAAAGTACAGATACTTACCTAAATAATGGTTTGATTTTTAACTCAAATGTAGTTTCTAAGCAGTCTTTCAAACTGTGCAGTAGTAATAGACCAGACATAAGCTGTGAGATGTTAAAATATATATATAATGACAGAAGTGGGGGTTTAGCTATGTTTTTATTGCTTTTCTACTCATCAATACCTAATGAGTAGGGATAAATCATGACAGGATATTGAGCAGTGTAGAGACAAGTGTCATAAGAGACCAACAGGTACAGCTGTGTAGGAGGGAAGAAATGGGCACCAGCAAAGAGTGGGAAAAAATGCAGGTGTGTCAGTTAAATAGTTTCATAATAAATGCATGATTTGAGCTGTTTCTCTCAACTGTCATGTAACTATGCATAAACGAATGCATTTTAATGGTATTTAAGCAAAAAAAAATATCAACCAATGTATTGAAAAAGTTGAACCCCATGAGATATAAGTTGATCGTCAGACCGTTCAGCAGAACTTTATGGGAAGAGAAAAAGAAGCCCCAAAACTCTGTCTGATGCAATTTAGGAAGAATCTATCACGTGCATTATTAAGTGGTTATTTGCTACCACTAGTAAAAATTTGCCTGCTATTGCCAGGCCTAACTTCAGCTTTTTGAAGTGCTTAACTTCCATTTGTGAAACGTTGTTCTTTTATCCCTCAGATCAAAGAGCTTTGGACATATTTAGAAATACTTAGACTGTATTAGACTCAGTTAAGGTGTCTGTCACATAGTACCTGCTGGTGTCATGACTTTGGGTGATATATTCACATGGTCTTTTTGAGGCTGAGAAATATATTCTGTGACAATTGTTTTTGCAGAGCTATGTGTAAACTAGTTGACCTAGGAGGTACTTCTGACTGGTGGCATCCTCACCCCGTAACAAGGCGAGACAGAGGCACACATCAGTGCTGACCAACGCCTTTGTTTTTGCAGGGAGGAAGTCAGGATACTCTGAAAGGCTAAGTTCTACTAAGGTCTGGGTAATTAGGGAAATCTGTAGCATGCTCCCACCAAATTACTTGAATTAGAAGGGGTCGTGATGTCCAGTCCATTAGAAACATGGGGATTTTTGAATTATTCCACAGGAAACAGGATAAGATAAAGTATGATTAATACATGATACATGAAATATTATTGAGATCTTTGATTTTCTGAAATTTTAAGTTGGTGCTCAAGGGAGGAAAAAAAAATTTCAGTGTTATGAGAGTTGGAGTTTTCTAGAGACAGCAAGGTAGTTCTAGATATATATCTATACATTCTAGAGATTTGTAGAAAGCATCTCATCCACCCTTCTGCATCAAAACCTTAGTCTCATCTGCTGTAAAGACTATAAGCAAGATCTTCCAGATACAGCTTTCAGGTACTTTTGTTCCAAAGATATCGGGAGACAAATAGTGTGGATCTTGTCCCCAGACTCTACCCCATTCACTTGGCAACAGATCCTTTTGCAAGGAAGGACCTCAAGCATACTTCATGCATTTTTTATTCCCTGAAAGAAGTGAGGCCTTATATCACTCAGGATGGTCTCTCCTTCATGAGAAACCGTCCTTTGGGATAGCTAATGCTGGGCACAGTGTGGTTCAGTCTGTCTAACCTCATCTACACTATTGCTTAAACTCAGCGACTGAGAAAGCCTTTGTGCGCTGTGTTGGGTAACTTGTGGTCTTCTCACTTGATGAAATGTTTCTGAGGCATAGTTTGGTCAGTTAGCATCTTTAAACCACTGGTGGCCGGGAGATGAGGGGAAATGCTGTGGGAAGCAGCAATAACTGATAGGCCAGACCTTCTCCTGCTCGATTTGGGCAGCGACCCACCATGCTGAAAGCAGCTCCTCTATGTTGCTGGGTCTTGCACGCATTTACTGCAGCTGACTGTTAGACAAGACTCGCCAGACCTGGCCCTGGGGAATGGGAGTGTCCTTTGGCAGGCCACGAAGAAACAAGGAAACTGGCAATTGATACTGCTCGTGAGGTTAAGGTTAGGGTCTTGAACTTGGGCTCTTCTCCTGCTGTCCAGTGCTCCCTGGTCCTGTGCGACTCATGTAGCCAGCCTCAGGCATTTGGAAGTTATTCGGGTCCTCCAAGCTCTTCATCCAAACACCTTCACTAGTGACAAGAGAGAGACTGGCACATCTAAAACACAGTTTTCTCCACCTCAAACACCTGTTTTAAGGAGGGCAGAATAAATGACTGGCTGGATCTAGGCAGCACGTGTACGAAAATTGGAACGATACAGAGATTAGCATGGTCCCTGTGCAAGGATGACATGCAAATTTGTGAAGCGTTCCATATTGTTTTAGGCACTGGAATGGGCTGCCCAGGGAGGTGGTGGAGTCCCCATCCCCGGAGGTGTTTAAGAGTCGTGTTGACATAGCGCTGAGGGATATGGTGTAGTTGGGAACTGTCAGTGTGAGGTTAATGGTTGGACTGGATGATCTACAAGGTCTTTTCCAATCTTGATGATTCTGTAGTCCGGTGATTCTGTAGTTAACTGAGATCACTTCCCTTTCTGTTCCTTTGCTGCCATGCATAGTTCAGTCCTTTACAGGGAAGACAAGTGTTTGCTGAAATTAGTGCAACAACAGTTTAAAAGCTTCCAGGAAGATATATATTGAAGCATTTTAACCTGATGAAAATTAACTTGTGTCTGTAGTAAAAGAACATTTATATATATATTATTTTTTTTTCACATGAGATAAGGGAGAGAATAATTTAACAAATAATACACCTACCATATCTAGACAAACTCAAGAGATATGTATGTTATGGTAGCTGGCCTCAGTCCAGGAAAGCCATTAGCCATGGGTAACTCTGAGAAAAAGAATTCTGCTTAGCTCCCCCTCCTTATTCTTTTTAAGGCATTGATCCTGTGTGTTGATCCATTTAGCCCATTGGGCTGGAATATTTGAGGATCCACAAGAGAAAGGCCACAATCTGTTTCAAGGTTATGTTTACCTTATCCCCCTGCCCCATCTGAAAATCATCCAGGCAAACTTTTTACCATCCCAAATCTGAAGAATTTTCCTATTCTACAGTTCTGTGTGTTACATGCCAGCCCTCATTCAGTCTTTTATCCTCTGGGCCTGGGTGAAATTCATAGGGACTCAGATGTGTCAGCCAGAATTTGAACCCAAATTAAACACAGCCATCATTCACAAGAAGAGAGATAATGGGTTTCTCTGGTGGTAACACTGTTGGGTCCTCCAGAGCATGAGCATCATTCATCACAGGCACAGAAAGGCAAGCTTAACATTTGTAGTGTTTTTTTCTTTTTTTAATTTCTGTTTTACTTGAGGGGTGAGGGGAACTTGGATCACTGAAAGAAACAGTAAAGGGCATAAAATCAGTTCTTGGATCAGCTGTTCTTGGAGTAAATGGTCTAGATAAGGACCCATCAGAGGTTTTTTTATATTTTTGAGAGTTTTAGATCTCTCTAACTGGAACACATCAGTGGGTTCTGGGATTTTTTTTTCCCTGAATGTACTTGAATTACACAGTGTGTTTTATACTTCTCTCCATTTCTGGTGAACACTTTTAGCTCCCCATGGGACTTCTGAAATGAGCAAGTAGAGAACCTTTTATTTTCTCTGTGGTGTTGGTAGGTGTCAGTGTGCCAGGATACATAATCTGGGAGTTAATACCTGCATTTAAGCTCCAAAATTTTACGTTTGATGGTTGTGTCTCAAGGCCAAGCATGAATAACTGATAACTTTCCCCTTTTCTGTTCCTCTGCATGTGTATTGTTGTTTAAGCTACAGACACAGTAAAATGTTTGGGCTCACAAACTGCCTTCTGGTTGTTCCAAATAGCTGTTCTTCAATGAGATACTTTTCTATATTGGACTTTGGAGAACTGCTTGTAGGTAAACTGAAGAGGAAAGGCAAAAATTTCAAGAGTCACTTTTGTGGTTGATCTGTTCATGTACCTCTTATCTATGAATATGTCTAGTCATACCTTATGTATCAATATATTGTGTGTTTACTTCATGCAGTGGGATTTTCCTTACTGCCTCAGGAAGAGCTCTGACCTCTGTGAAAGACTTCTGGGGTGATAGCCATGGCTCCAGCATCAAAGCTACATTCAGCAACACACTTCTAGTATGTGTGTTCAGTATCAACTTCTATATGAGTTAGATAGAGCTGTCAGTTCTATAACTTCCAGAAATATAATTTCTAGGCTAGTGTAACACTGTAAGTTGCCTGATGCCAAGAGAAAAGGTCAAGTCTTCATTGCCTGAAATGTAAGTTTTGTCTGTTGTACAGAGATTTGCACAGCACTGTGTGTACTTGCTGATGAGGTGCCTATGAGCAGCATCAGTGTAATGCAGACGTGCCTCACTTTTCTCATTCCCTATTTCATGCAGATGCTCCAAGCTCACAGCAGTGCCATCTACCCCTTCCATGAGCAGAGGACCCTTTGCAGAAGTGTTAGTTCCTATGTAAAGGTCGCAGTCTGCCACCACCCTGAACACTGCCTTCATCTATGAATAGTTCAGCTGAAGCCATCTTTAAGCCAGACAGAAAAATAAATTGCTCACAGTGGAAGGAGCTCTTCAGCATGATCCAGATTGCCTCAGTGTAGCCCCTTGGGACTATTTGTGCAGTGAGATACTCTTCACTGTGAATAGGAGTGACAAAATATGGCCCAGAGTTAGTTCCCCCAAAATGTAAATATAGAAACTGCCACAGAAACACGTGCATGAGCACAGAAGTCTTTTTTCCACCCATGATCTTTCCCAGCAAGGTCTCTCTCTCAGAGAGTGACTGTGGCTGTTCAAAGCTTCACTGGCATTGTGGGTTGACAAGGGGAAACATTGCTGATCCAGCTGAGAGGCAGGCAATTTGCTTCTATAAAATTACACTTAGTAAAGCTTTTGGAGTTTGTGTCAGACATATCTGAATCACTGATATCTCAAATGCTCTCAGTCATGACAGGAAGGGGGGTCATATGAGGATGAGAAACTATTTAGACATATAGGGTAACCTTTGATGAAGTGCACAACCCATAGAAAGGGAATCTGTTAGCAGCTCTGTGCAGTAATCTGGAAGTACTGACTGCTGGTTTTATTGTATTTCATAGAGATTTGCGAAACCCAGAAAACATGAGTAGCCATTACATGTATGATGAACACTGGTCTCTGGTATAGTAGGAAGATCCAGGCTTTTGTGCAAGGGGCATTTCCTTGGCTGGTTTTATCTTCCCTAGCTCTGCTGATAGCACCCTCTGTATTCTCAGGAAAGTCACTTCTCTGTTTGCACTTCTCTCCATGCCCAGTAAACACTGGTGAGCAGTCAGGGGAAATCAGGCTGAGGTCTTCTGCAAGTAAAGAATTGGATTCCCTTGGCATAATGCTTGAGACCATTGAATCAGCCTTAAAAATCAGGCACTCATCCCCAAGGCATGAATTAGCCATGGCAGCCTTGGAGCAGTAAGTAACAAAAACTGCTAGTCAGATATAGGCATATGGTGCTGCTTTTTGCAATGTTAGTGTGTTTCTCTAATAGTTTCATTGTATTACACTCCTTTACCAGGGCTTATTTTCATTTGTGCACAGTGTCCATGCAGCACACAGGGTCTCCATCTTCATTTTTGCCTGCAACAAAATTTCTTTCTTTAGAAATACTTCTAGTGCTGGGGGAGAGAGAGATGATACTTTGTGGTTGCTGTTAACCTCACATAACTCTTTAATTTTCTCCCCTCCCCCCCCCTTTTTTTTTTTTTTTTTTTTTCAATGCTAGTTACAGATCCCAGATGTCAAATAGCAGCAGCAGCTGGCTGCAACAGCAGATCCTTTAGGCTGCAGCTGGGTGAGCACTCCTGGATTTATTCGAGCTGTGTCATATAGATGGTGTGCAGATTATTTCTCTGAGCTGCCATGCTCTTCAAATGCCTCTAGTTCTTTCCTTCCCTTTCTTATTGTGTTAATACATGGACCCTGAAAATTCAGTCTTGGAGAAATCTCTCATGGATTGTGTGCAAGGTCTGTGGATCAAAAGGATGGCCTATGTGTGCACTATTCCTTTTACATAACTAAATGATTCAATTAATAAGTAATACCAAATATTCCCAATACAGTATTAGATTAGGGATGACTCTGTCCTTGAATACCCTGTGTATATGACAACAGCACTCTTGTATGAAGATGAAAGGAGAAACATTAATTCAGGAAGTCTGATCTCTCTTTTTAAAATTATGTACTCAGTGTCCAAATTGCTTGAATGATACTTTTCTCTTCATAAAGTCCATGTGAGTAGACTGTTTGAATGTGACTGACAGAATAGAGCTTCATATTTCAGCAAAAGAGACAAGCTGGAATAAGAGAAAATTTTCAATAGAAAAGTGCATGGACAATATACTGTATTATCTACAAAGGAGAGTTAAAAGCAAATTAAAATATCTTATTTGCCTCACTGGATATATTTTTAGGAGTACCTGTGCTGGTGAATTTTCTTTACTAGTTGTGCCATACATTATATTTAATCAAATCTTTTTAGTTATGTGTTGTGGGCTGCCAAAATTAGCACTAACATTAATGGAATCGTAACAAAGGTGTGGTTTTACATATGTTTTGTAAAAGCAGTATAATTTGATAGTAAAGTATATTTTAGGTATTCTGATTAAACTTTAGAATCCTTACTCAAGATCAGTAAAACCTTGACAGCTGAATCATTTCATCTCAGATTATCGGGACATATGATTAAATATTCAAGGCAATATTTTAAAATATAATTTACTAATAATTTATTTCTCCAGTACTGTCAAGGATATTTACCAATTTGAAATAGTTTGTTCTAGAAACAGAATTGCTCATTGACTCAGCCCTCTTACCCTTTTGGGCAGTATCAAGAAAATAGGTTTCACCAAGTAAGGCAAATATACTTTCTCTAAATGATCTAATCACTCCTGTGGTCTACTTTATTTCACTTTTGTTCTCTTGAAACATTTCCTGCAGCTAAAGTGGAGGTGATTGTTGTAGGTGTTTGAGTCCCATTGATATTGCACATTTCAAGAATTATTGATTGTGCTTGCGGACACAAGGCAGAGTCCAGCTCAGAGCTCAGCAAACATGCAAAAATGTTGTGCAAAAGTAACTATAAGCCCACAGAATTTTCAGCACCAATAAAGACAACTCCACTGTCATTTATTTTAAATCTAAAGCACTGTACCTGTTTCTGCTTCACAGTCACTGGATTATATCTTGTGAATTATCTCTGAGTGGGGCAGTCATATAGCCTTCACTTGTATGGCTGCTTCTAGCTGCTTCTGTGTTCATTCTTAGTTCAACTTCCTACTTCC